AGAGCTCGACGAGTTCTCCTTCAACAAAACATCGGGACCTTCTTCAACTGACTCGCTGAGTTCATTCTTGAACTCGTCGAGTCCATCTTCATCTGTATGAAGGTGTTTAGTCTATGACTCGTCGAGTTCTCCTTGAACTCGTCGAGTCCGTCTTCATGTGGTTGGGACATTGCCTTGAACCCGCCAAGTTCCTCCTTGAACTCGTCGAGTCCTTCGATCTTCAAGTCCATAAAAAACCCAAACAGGCTGAGTTTTCCTTCAAATCAACCAAAGAGCATTTCCAGAAGACGTTTGGGGGAAAATGCGACCCGACTCGTCGAGTCCCACTTTGTCCAAAACTATACAGTCGATTTTAATCGGTCTCAATGCATCCAAACCATAGATCTGACCTCCTAGGGTCCAGATTATACGTAAAGTTCCAATCTTGACGTCCATGCATGAGGTATTTGGCCCAAATGGCTCTAAAATGAAGTCTAAAAGATGCATGGGGTGCTTATGGCAATAAAGTTGGCACCTTTATGCTATAAGAACCCCCAATGGTTCCAGATCTGAAGCTATACCCTCAATGAACCACAAAATCCCGAGTGTGGCACCTCTAAGGCTTAGAAAAGGTACAAATGAACCCTAACTAGAGATATAAGAGATAGATGGTCAAGGTTTCAGCTTTATACCTCACGTGAGCTGGAAATGGGGCACAACCTCTGGATCTACTAGTTTCCACTTGAACTTCCAAGCTCTTTCTTCCTTCTCAAGCTTCACAATCACCACAAGCACACAAAAATGGCTCAATAACACTCAAACAAGGTTAGGGTTTCGATTTAGGGTTTCTCTGAGTTGGGAGGGACGATGGAGGCTGGGTTGAGACAAGATAAGTTGTTTAAATATGGTGCAAACCCTAAATATTAGGGTTTTGTCCAGACAGCCATACTCGTCGAGTCTGTCTCCTGACTCGTCGAGTAGGCCACTTATCCTCATGATCAAAAGTCGAGTCTACTCGACGAGTTGGGCCTCCAACTCGCTGAGTCCCAGTGCAAAACATGAAATTGCTTGAATTTAGATACATACCAGGAACCGGGTGTTACAAACATAAACTTAAACCGTAAGCACAAAGCTTAGTGAGTTCCCCACAATACCACATAATATACAAGTAACGATCCTCGCCCAATTAGTATTACGGGCCTCGTCCGAACTCGTATAACGGGCCCCGTCCAATGAGTATAACGGGCCTCGCCCTAACTCACATAACGGGCCCCACCCAACATACAAAACATGCAAGTATCACACAAACAACTATCATTCTACAAACATAATCCAGTGGGTCGGTATAGGTGCCTTCAACCCACGAGTATAGTGAAGAAACTCATCTCAGTTCTATAATGAACAATCACACACAAGTTGTTGTTACAATGGCTCCTCACACTGAGCACATTCAAACTATCCCTAATCAATATTTAGGGTAATAACCCACAAATAAAAGCCCAAATCATAAACCCTCTTACAAAGGGTAAAAGACCCTTTTACTCTTTACTCTAGGCCCAACTAACCATGACCTAAGGCCCAAACTGACCCAAAGCCCAAAAATGGCCGAAAAGGGTTTCAGGTGAGTATGTTATGCGTACACCCTACGTATACCCAGTGTACATGACCTTCACTGAACGGGGACATAGGCTAAACCAAGGTTGTAGAACTCGCTACTCGGTACCTGCTCGACCGACTGGGGAGTAGCGAGTACTCGGGAGTACTCGGGAATACTCGGGGAGTACACGGATTTGGTAATTCATGTAGAAATATTTTTTAGGAAAATTATATATGTCAAAATCATAAGTTAAAATCATAATTTGATTGAAATATATAACGAAATTAGATACATGTGAATACATAAAAACTGAAATACACACAAATGTCTCACTTCATAAATAATTACTGAAAATTTAAGATATATATGTAGTAATAATCACATGTGTGTGTTAAATAATAAATCATTAAGTGTATTATACATATTAATCTTGAAATTCTTGATTTTTTTCTCTTTTTATGACAATTTTGACCCTTTGACCGAGTTTGACCGATTTTGACCGAGTTGGCTGAGTTTGACCGAGTAGGCCCGAGTAATCAACCCATGAGACCAAAATATGCCAAAACCCTAAGCAAACCCTAGATCTAAGCAATGCACCATAAAGGTTGAGACTTTATACCTCCAGAAGGATGATCAAGATGAATAAAGTTTGGATCTACAAACTCCAAGCTAATCAACACTTCTGCAATGAGTTCCTTCTTCAATAAGCACGAAAAACATACCAAATCACTTAAAGGCTCAAGAATCTCACAAATGGGGGCTAGGGTTTCGAGGGGGCAACTTTAGAGGATGGAGGCTGAAGATAAGGTTAGCCTCAAAGGAGATAATGAGGTAGTGTCCAAAACCCAAAAATTAGGGTTTGCCCCTGCCACGAGTACGTCCAACGTACTCAAGAGGAACATGCGGTCAAGTTTAATGAGATACGCTCAACATAACTCACAATTACGCCCAATGTAATGACCTTTCATGCGGAAATAATAAATATATAAGAACTTAAGGAATTTACCTGGGAACCCGACATTACAAATCTCACTAAATTTCCCCAAAAACTCATCAATCGTGTCACCCTCTTTCATATTCAACATATTTAGCTCGGTTCTAAGTGTTTGAAGTCTTGCCTTTTTTTTAACTCTTTCGGCTCCAAAATACCGGACACGAATCCTACATGTCTTCTGCATCCTTATTCTTAGCCACTCGAAGCAATATATCTTCGAGTAGAGTTTTAAACACAAATGATCTTGCCATCAGATTTTTCTTTGCCTCCACCGCTCTTCCAGTTATCGGATCAATTGCTTCCCACAAACCATATGCTTGTAGGATCGACTCCACCATAATCGACGAACTTGTATAGTTTGTAGTTGTTAACTTAGGGCATTGCAACGAGATATTGCTACCTTGAACCTAACTTGATCTACCGGGGTTTATTGTTGGCATCTTCTTCTTTTCTGATTTTCTTTCTCACTTTGACTAGCTTCTCCACACAAGTAAGCTTCACCACACATGTTCATTGTCTTCTTGGTTCACCTAGAACTTGGATTCAATACATAACCCTTTCTTTCAACTTACTCAAATCAATTTTCAAAAAAAAAAAAAAACTCAATCACACATCACACATATATGGATTTAATCACACATATTTCTTTTGAACTCAGCTCACACAGAGCTTTGTTCAGCTCTCATTAAACTGCAACCAGTTCACATAGAACCTCTTCTTACGATCCCAAGGTTTGAACCTAGGGCCCTGATATCATATGTTGGTTCATCCCTTACAACCTCTGAATAGATAAGAAAAAAACAAACATGTATTCCCTATTGCTATTGTATACGAGAAGAAAAAGAAGAAAAAAACAGATGGAAGCTTGTTTCTTTTTATCCAAAATCAAGAGGGTATAAATAGCCTACAAAATACACAACAGTTATAAACAAAATTAAACTAAAACCTAGCTACTACCCCTAAAGACTAGAACACTACAAGGACCAAATACACCACGTTTTCTCTTCTTTGAACTTGGTCAAACAACGTTTATTCAAACATTAAATTAAACAAACCATAGACTAACTATTTGATCCATACCCATAATTAAAATCAACCCACCCATGTCAAGATTACCCAACATATGGTGGGGTCTCCTCTTAATACCCCTATTTTGACAAACCATTTTAAAACACTCTTATTTCTACAAAGCTTTTTGCAAACACCCTTATATTTGCAAAAAAAAAAAAAAAAAAAAAAAAAACCTCCTCAAATCTCACACAACACACACTAAAACATACACTCAAGGCTAGGGTTTCTCTTATGGAAGGGTGGAGGTTGGGATGAGAAGAAACCCTACTCCATACATTGTTTAAATAGGGCTCAAAGCCCGAGATATAGGGCTTAGTGCACAAGCGCCACCACACCATCGTGGACACCTAACCGTGCCACAATATAATGACGTGGATGTGTCGTAGTCCTCCAGACCGCGCCGAGACCAGTGGCGAGACTATGCATAATAAAAGTGGGTCAAAAACTCCATATTCAGTAGGGTAAAAGTACATTTAAATAAATGAAAATTTCTAGAAAGATCAATTCCTAAAAATGGATGTTATAGTGTTGACTACAAAACTCCATAAGGGAGACAAGATATAAACTTTTTATCTATTTATGTAGGTGTTTATTTTTTGTTTCTGTTTTTACTTTGCAAATGTACGAACACACTAGTTTTTTTATCTACTGGTTTTTATTGTTTTTCAATGTTTGGTGTTTAGCTGTATTTTTTTTTTTTTTCAAATTTCAACTTCAAAGTTTCAATTAATTATTAGGTTTGTTTGGTGAAGTGGTGTTAATTATGTGGTTTATTGTTCATTATCCATTGGTTATTCATTATGCATTGGTGTCAATTATTTGGTTTATTGCTCACTTTTCAATGGTTTATTTTCCTTAAGTTTTTTTAAGACCATCAACACAATTATTGTTATTGTTTGGTATAATAGGTAAATTATTAAAATTTCTTTGTTCATTGTTCGGTAGAGTAGGACTTATTGGCTAAATTGATTTGTTAATTGCAAGTTCTATGGATTGTTTATTTTCTTAACCTCTAGTTAATCTCTTAATTAAGAAATTTATTGAACTTTTTTACCTGTTTGTCTTTAGACGCGTTTGGTTGTGCTTTGGCTAGTAACTGTGCACAAAAACGAGTATGAGGGTGTATTATTTGCCTTCAAGTGGCCGAAGTTTAATAAGGTTGCCGATGTCAGAAATTATTTGAGTGCTTGCAAATTTCGCTAGAACACAGGGACCATTTACGTAATATACTCTTCTTTTGATTAACTTTTTTTTTGTCGTATATATAATTTGGATACACAAGTTGATCGATGAATATAGTCTGTACATTTTTTTACTTTCTATATATATCCCAAACATACAAGGTTCAAGGTCCCCACCATGGCTTCAGCTTCATTCATTATCCTTTCAGCTTCTTTCGACTACCTGTTCTTTGCCACTATATTGTATCCTACGGTTGTCGGCGCGCTCGGCGGAAGTTGGTTCCTCCTCCACCCAACCATCGGCATAACCGCCATGCACATGCAGCTTCTCCCCAGCGACCGTGTCATCATTTTCGACCGGACTGACTTTGGTGCCTCCAACATCTCCCTTCCGGACGGAAAATGCCGAGAGGATCAGTATGATTACATTTTGAAGAACGACTGTACGGCTCATTCTATCGAATACGATGTCGCTTCCAATTCCATTCGTCCCCTCATGGTCCTCACCGACGTTTGGTGTTCCTCCGGTGCTTTAATGCCAGACGGCAGCCTCATTCAGACCGGCGGGTTCAATGACGGTGATCATGTCATTAGAGTTTTTAATAACTCATGTAGTTCGTGCGAGTGGGAAGAGATAAAATCCGGGTTATTTCGCCGGAGATGGTACGCTACTAATCATATATTACCGGACGGCCGGCAGATTGTTATTGGTGGTCGCCGGCAATATAACTACGAGTTCTTCCCAAAAGCTATGGCGTCAGAGAAAGCTTATAGTCTGCCATTTTTAGTACAGACAAATGATGCAAACATCGAGAATAATTTATACCCTTTTGTGTTTCTTAATACCGATGGCCATTTGTTTGTTTTTGCAAATAATCGTGCAATTTTATTTGATTACTCTCGGAATCAAGTTTTAAAAACGTACCCTGAAATACCCGGCGGTGATCCAAGAAACTATCCAAGCACGGGATCCGCCGTCCTACTACCTTTACGTATTGCCAATGCCACCGTAGCGTCGGCGGAGATTTTAATATGTGGGGGTGCACCTAAAGGAGCATTTATGAATGCTGTAAATGGGAAATTTGATGGAGCGTTGAATAGTTGTGGCAGGATAAAAATATCCGATTCGGATCCAAAATGGGCCATGGAAACCATGCCTTTGGGTCGGGTCATGGGTGACATGTTATTACTACCAAATGGTGATGTTTTGATCATCAATGGCGGGTCAAACGGGACCGCCGGGTGGGAGTACGGGCGAAACCCGGTTTTCAATCCTGTAATTTACCGGCATTATAACCGGATTAATTCTCGTTTTGAAGTTCAAAACCCGAGCACTATACCCCGAATGTACCATTCGACTGCTATTCTGCTTCGAGACGGGAGAATTTTAGTTGGCGGAAGTAACCCTCATACATTTTATAATTTCACAAACGTACTTTACCCTACTGAATTAAGCCTAGAGGCGTTTTCACCCTCGTATTTAGATCAAGATTCATCTAGGTCACGTCCAAAAATAATTTCACCAATGACCCAGACAAGAATTCAATACAGACAATTGATAAGTGTTAGGTTCACAGTTCAAAACAAGGTGGACCCAAACACAATATCGGTGACACTGGTGGCACCTTCATTTAACACACATTCATTTTCGATGAACCAAAGGCTCTTGGTGCTTGATGTCGGCAACACTACAAAGGTGGTCGGAAACTGGACATATGAAGTTGACATGACGGCACCACCCTCCGGTAACATTGCACCGGCGGGGTATTATTTGCTATTTGTGGTGCATCAGGATATCCCAAGCGAAGGCATTTGGGTTGTGATTCAGGGATGAGCCATGATGAATAATGCATAGTGGCCCTACAAAATTAATTTATATAGATAGGGTTTACTTTCTTTTAACACTTGTATTTGTAACAATTTTTTTAAGAAAATGTTTAGCTTGGTAATTTTTTTTTACTAACTACCATTAATATAGTTTTAGTTTACAAATTTATAAGTTTTCGAACACAATGCCAAAAAACAGCTATATGTCACGGTTTACATCTAAACCGGACAAAAAGTCAAATTGGGGTATTGGAGTGGAGTGTGCGTACATGTAACATGGGTCGGAAGGTTAAATCATTCACGTGAGATTCGTTGCCAATCAATCCAATTCCAAGCTGCCAAAAGAGAGTTGTCTGCTTCAAACTTCATACTTCTTTCCTTTCATCCATAAAAATAATGTTAGGTTTCATTTAAGAAATTTTGTAAACAATAATCAAAGTGTTGGTATTTTCTTTTCAGAATTATTGGAGTGTGCTTGCCTTCAATTTGAGAAACTACACGGGAAAAAAACACTTTGTAAAATGACACATTTTTATTGTAGTGGTTAGAGGTAGTTAATTAGAGTGAGTTATGGTTGTCAAAATGTAACTCAGCCATAGTTATTTTTATGTTTGTTTTCTTAACCATAGTTAACTATGATTTTTTTAATATAACGACAATGTATACATACTCTAATCTATTTCTGAAATACTCCAAAATTTCATCTAGCTATGTCCCTAATGAAACTTGAACCATCGAGCTTTTTACCTGATACAAGTGAGTTAGAAGAGAAATTTGGTATGACCGAGTAATTTATGCAAAACTAGGTTATAACCCGTGGAAACCACGGGTAAAAAGTTTATAATTTTTTATTAAATTAATAGGATTTAAGATTTATAAAGCAGATTATAATTAGGTTGTATGCTCGTATTAATAAAATTAAATAAAATTACTTCTAGTTTTCCTTTTTTTCAATCAGGTTGTTCTTCATTTATGAAGTCTTTTGGTTTGAAACCTTGCTGATATGTTCTTACTTTATCATCATCAAAATAAAATAAAATATCATAAAATTTTAAATAAGATCAAAATGGTAAATTCATCAAAACATGTATAAAAAAAGAATGTAATATCCTGCAATTGGTAAACATTTCCTATTAGGGAACGAACTTAAATATAATATTGACAACTTTCACGTAATTATTTGTAACAAATTTTAACTAAAAAAGTTTTATAACTATCGTAATAGTTATAAAGTTAATAAATATCAGGTGATGCAAAAAACAAACATTGTATAAAAATAAAATCTAAGCAATTGCAAAACTGGCACTAAATAAATATATGACACAAAAAGAATATCTTTAATAAAATTCCACTTGATACAAATACACATACTTTATTAAAGCATTTAGCTTGAAGCAATAAAAATTTATCTCAAATTCTTGCTCACAAACTTCTTTGATTTAGCGCTTTGAAAAAATGAATAGATACCCCTTTCTGGTATGGAATAAACGTAATTAAGCAAATAGCATTAATA